GGCAGTACTTACAAAACTACTGTTTTGCTAAACACTTAATTTCATGTCAAAATCAATTTTGAGAGAAAGCTTTTGATCGGACAAAGTACCTACAAGGCTGTTTGATACCCCAGCCAGGTCCTGTAGCGTGTCATCGCTGCTCCTGTTTGAGACTAATTTCCCAGTGCTGGGGCTGCCCCATCCCCCTTGAAATCTTGCCAACTGCCCCACAGAGCTGGGAATCAACACCCAAGCTGTAGAAAACAGCTCTGCCTTTGGACTATTTACTAACAGGGAATGGCATTTCGAGAAGGCTGTTCCTAGAGATTTTCCGAAGTCAGTGGATCTGTTGGGATTCAAGAGGACTTTCTGCGAGAGAATGGCCATGTGAGCAAACCTGCGTGAGAACAAGACTGATAAGAGCCTCAGCCGAGCAAGAATGTGATAAGGATGTGACCCTGAATGAGGGGGGAGAAACTCGATGGGACAAACAACCCCCGGAAGGGGCTGGGACGGAAGAGGAAGTTCCCCAAGGCAGGAAGCCTGGCACGGCTGCTCTGGGTGGGCAGCGCCTGGTGTCCCAGCCCAGCCACCCCAAACACAAGAACCTCTCAGGTGGTGCTCTCAGGCCACCCCTGACCTGACGTGAGGCCTCTCAAGCTCTGCGGGCGTTTCGGAGCTGGACCCCATGAAGATAAGGGGTTATGGGGCGCACATGTGCTCCTCGGTAAACTCCAGTTTCAAGGCACAGGCACTGTTCGTTACCAGAGGGCTGCGAGTGTGTGGGCTGGTGGGAAACAGAAGTTGCTCTGTGCAACACGATGAGTTGGAATGGTAGCAGACTCCTCAGCGCTTGCATGGAGTGTGCAACTGTGGGAGATGCAGCGTCGACAAGTCAGGCCTCAGGAATGCTTTGGAGAAGTAACTCCAGTGGTCTGCTGTGCAGTTATCTTAGTGTGTGCAGGACGGATTTAGGCCAAGCATGAGGGAGACTAAATCTGTTAACGGGTTATACTTGTCAGGAACTGCCTTCTGCCCAAGGCAGGCCTTCTTGGGTCTTGCTAGGATACAGATATTCTCGATCACCAGTTCTCTGGGGCAGATAATATGCACTGGATTCTGTTGTGGCTTGTTAAAGAGAAAATATTTGAAAAATAAACAAAAGTTGTAGACAGACTAGTGAAAACAAGATGCCTTTTAAGCTTAAGACATGACACAAGTGGTACTGATGAATCTACAAGGCTGCTGTAGCTCTATGCCAAAGCAATATTCAGCACAGAAACAGAAATCACCAGATACAAGTTTTGTTTTGGACAAAAGTCACTGTTCCTTTCTTGATGCTGAGTGGCAACAGCAGGGTTTCTGGAGAAGCCTGTCATTCTGGGGAAAGCAGACTTCACCGGCACAAGAAATGTGTAATCTCTGGTCACATATTGGCCCTTCATTTTCTCATCCACAGACAGCAGGACTAGCCAAGGGGAGGACTGGGTTGTTCAAGCCTTATTAGCAGCTTGGGCATGGGTTTGAGCTTAGTTCAGTCATCCACAGCCTTACAGGTCATTTCACCTTTATTTTTTTTTCCCCTTGGTTCTTTGCCTCTTGCCTCTGATTTAGGCAGTCAGCACAAAGCCACTTTTTACGGTGTCTTGCTTATGAACAGAATGACCAATGCTCTCAGCCAGGCATTAAGATTTGCTGAAGAGAAGCAAAGCAGTTCCTGTAGTTTTCCCAGGGCTGTAAGCCAGAGGGACATGTACAAGATCTGTTTTTGCCTGTCCCTCCGTATGTGAATCTGATGAGGTTTTCAGTGCTGATAATCATTCACAGCCACTGAAAGTTACCTTCCCTTTCAAAGAGATTACTTCACACCACCCTTAAATCCTAAATATCATCTGGTCTATAAAAAAGGTTTCGCCACATAAAACTGCAGAGGGCATCCAAGAAATGAAAACATTTACCAGTGTACTTTTGGAAAAAAAAAAAAAAAAGGCTGTTTTACATGCATTTAATACATTTATTAAGGCCCCATTTTTTTATAAAATACCAGTTATGAAAATAAGGTGATGCTGCAGTTTAGTAGAATAGGGCCAAATACCTTTTCCTGCACATTTCAGTCCCTCCAAAGCATGCATAATTTTCATGTGTGCTTTTGAGCTACCGGTTTTAGGATGCTGCTTCTTCCTAACAGTGAATCTTTTTGTCGGTACTTGTTTTACAACTTTTTAAAGGGTGACATACTTTTCTTATCGTATGAAAGTATCCTTTGTTACTTCTCACAGAGTAAAATAATGATCAGGTGGAGGGGTTTCATGCTGGCTCAGCTGGCAATGAATAGCATTTATTCATGATATCAAATTAGTAGGTACAAACAATTTAGTTTCTCTGGCTTTTCTTTTTTTAAAGAACTGTATTTAAGTGAGTTAATATTTGGGTCACCACCTTGGCTCTAGTTGTTGCAAAGAGTAATCCCTCCTAATATGTAAAGAAATTAACCTCTGCTCTTCACTCTGCAGAGAGACACAGTCAGAACAGTGTCAAGAGGTGTCAATTTAGGAACAGAGTCCAGCAGCTGAGTCCCAGGATTAAGAATATACTTAGTGGCTTTTGTGCACCAGGGTCACAGGCAAGGAAAGAATTCCATGGTACCTAGTAAAAGGAAAACTGGTCAGTAATCTGTAATTTCTGGCCATTAGGGACTTGTACACCTGTATAGGTACATAAAAGGCTAACTAGGGGCTGTGGAGGAGAACAAACACCAAAGTATTCTTTAATCTTTGCGTTAAAATTCGGCTTCTAATTGCTGTGAATGCTTAAGGAAGCCAGGTAATGTGTCTCATGCTGCACTTAAGCATTGTCAAGACACAAAGTGCTTTTTAGATATCTTTTCTTTCTGGAAGAGATGCAGCGTTGTACTTACCCAAAGTCAGCAGCAGCGGGTATGAGCTCCTACATGGGCCAATATCAGCCTTTGCACTCAAAGATTTCCATAAGTCTGCCGTGTACTAAATCTCTGGCATAGTTGTCTGGACATGATTTTTATTCAGATCTTTGCCTACATAAAGCTGGTAACCCTAAATGTGTCACTTTTACTCATCCCGTTTACTTCCACACTACCAGATGGGTTATGTATGTTTTACCACTGAAACACCAAAGGCAGCTCTATCTAAAAGACTGGAAGCAGAGGTTACAAATAAAACTGGCTTAACTTAGAGAGTTTCTAGATGTTGGTCCTATTCCTATCCACAGTTGTCTAGGTATGTATCAAGCATTACAAAAGTTCAAGCTTTCGTGGTAACATCTGTCTGTTTAAAGCCAGCCTCCTGTCCTGCCTCCTGTGAAGGCCACTGCTTCACAACGAGCAGCCTCACAGAATTCTCCTCCATTCTTTCTGTATGACAAGTGATGCAAGTTTTAGACAGTAAAACTGTCATAAATACCACATCCTTCTCTTTATCTTTCTTGAAAATATTGTAATTTTTGATTTCTAGCTAGCCCTTCTCAGCCTAGATGTCAGCTGTAAATTCCTAACATCTTCTGGGGCTGTTAATGTTGCACATGACCTAATAAGGAACAAACAAAAAATATATAAACACCCCAGTAAATTAATGATATCTGTGATATTACCATCTTTTCATTCACATTGACATGTCAATAGCAAGCCATCTGACTTGGTAACAAACTGCACTGGTTCCTCCCTCAACATACAGTAGCAGCATAAGAAGTTCTTCAGCCACAGATGAAATAGCCACAACTAGCTACAACTAAACCAGTCCTATCTATCTAAGCTGGTAGAGATGCTAAAAGAAGATTTGTGAAGTATGAACCCTGTTGTTCACTTAGATGACTGGGTACATAATATTTAGGGTCATTCTCATCTAGCCTGGGCCATTCAAATCAGCCCTCCCTGACTACAGCATGCTTTGAGGTATGTACCACAGACACTGTGGTTCAGAAGAGATCTGTCCAAGGTTCAAGTGGACTCTCCAACATTTGTCTCTGCTTATATGACTAGTTTATAAGTAATGTTGCTGTTTGACTTCATGAGGGTTTTGCCTCTTGCCTCCTTGACTTCCATACACGCTACAAGATCTAATCCAGACACAAACATTTCACTGGGCTTTTGAGATCATCCTTAACATTTAGGGATCAAATATTGATGAACGGTGTGATTAATCTTGAAAATGGTGCCTGAAGTACAAATACGAGGCTCAGATGCTGACAACATTACTTCTGATATCAGTGTTAATGAACTGTTGAGCTGTTGAGAAAAGATGGGAAGATTGTTTTTTATGAAGATCTGTGGAAATTTGTGAATGGTCCTGGCAGCTTTAGATCAAGGCTCAGTGTTTCCTATTCATGGTAGGATGCCTGTTCCCATCAGGCTGCAGAACTGTGTTCATAGAAGAGGTTCTGTATGTTGATGTGTATATCCTTTTCAGCAGGATCAAGTGGATAACATCAATACCCAGAAGATACCCTGAGTACCCCACCGTCAAGATTCTCAGAAGGAAGATGTTCCTGAATCAAAAAATACTAGTCTGCTTGAAAATTATCAAAGGATCAAAAGTAGTTTACCATGAGTAAGACAGTCTGCTTCTGAAAAGATCTGTTCATGCTGAGACAGTTTACTGGTAACCCTGTTGTGTGTACCACAGTACGGATGATGAAGATATTGCTGGCCATTGGAGATCAGTATGGTCATGTATGCTCTTGCTGAGTAAACCAGTGAATTCAGGCCAGTGAGTATGCCCCACTAGTGCATGCACTGAACCAAACAACTTCTCTCTTCAAAAGGCATTTTGCTTCAGCTGCAGGATGGGTATTCCAGGAAGGCAACTGGTTTGTTCAATGATTAACACTGTTAACTGTGTCATTATTCTGAGTAGAATTTGAGGTGTAATTATTTTAAAATGGCAATATTATCAGAATCAATCCCCCGGACTTAATCATGGTTGTGTTTTGGAATTGAGACTAAAAATTATCCTTTTCCCTATAGAAGACTTCTACTACTTTTTTTTTTTTTTTTTTTTTTTTGGTACAATGTTTCATGTGTTGTTTTACAATTCCACTGAGCCTATGCAATGATACTGTCAATTTTGCAATATTTAAGAGTTGTGCAAGTGACAGTGATTTTTTTTTTTTTTTTGAGATATGCCTCCTGGGTCATCCAGAAAAGAACAGTTTTGGCAAGATAGAAATTTGGAAAAAAAGTGTTGTAAACAAAATATTTTAGAGGTTTTCTTAAAAAATATTTTTACATACAACCAAAGAAAGCTTTGGAATGAAATAACATTTCGTTTAAAATTGAAACATCATTTAGTAAATGTCAAAGTGAATTATGTGGGGATGGAGAGTTGCATCATTAACTTTGACTCAGACAATTCTATGTGCTCAAAAGAAATTCACAAAATGTTCCAGTTTATTCAAATCCGCATGTTCCACCAAAAAAGTTCCATCAGTTTCTTTCCTCCAGACCTATTTCAGCTATAGAGCCTGCTGGGAGTACTTAAAGCACAAGTCACCAGTTGATCATACAGCTTTGTTATTTTGGGGAACATAAAAGGAATTGTAAGTTTTTAAGAAAGCTTCTGTTATTGTTTGCTCATTTTTAATTGTTTCTAATGTCAGAATGCTGTGGTGTGCAGCAACAGATTTTTCCTTTGTAGTCACAAGAGTGCAGGTGGAAGTGT